TCAACCCTGAGCCGGTGAGATTTGAACCGCTGAACTGCTGATCTAGCAGTAGCCTGCAGTGCTGCATTTAACCACTGCGCCACCTTGGCTCAAGCACCATAAGCACCACCACCAGCACCACCACCAGCAGTACCACCAGCACAACCACTTGAGGTCAGAGAAAGCAGCAAGTCCATCTCCTCCACTGAAGGTCCACAACTTCCTGACTGCTGGAATTTGCAGCAATACAGACATTTCCAGGAGAAGTATGATGGACAGGCAGTATCTGACAAAAAGTTAGGTTGTGAGTACTGTGCAAAATCCATGTTCTCATTAGATAAAGGTATTCATGCTTCTAGAGAGTGGAAACACTTCCAGGTTGTGCCAGCAGGGTCAACTAAGGAGAATCAACAAGCATCGCTCAGAAAAAAATTAAAGGAACATTTTCAATCAAAAGCACACCTTATTTGTTTGGAGAGCAGTAAACAACGGGAGCAGGATGCCTTAACCAAATCTGTAGGTAAGTTAACTGACAAACATTTATCCAGTACTTGCAAAATAATTTCTACTGTTTACGAAGATGCAATCCATTCTCACACATCGAAGCACAGGTAAATTTGCTAACTAAGGTTGGAGTGGATGTGGAAGTTGGCTTGCATTCACGGAGATCCGCAGTGAAAATAGTTGAATTCATTGCGAATGAAATCAAAACCACTGTGTTTTCCAGGATTATTGCAAAGAATCTAAAGGTGTTCCTAATAATCAATGAAGCCTCAACACTTTCAATGAAAGCAGTGCTGATAGTTTTTGTTAGAGTTGCGGTTCCAGAATGCCGAGCAACCATTTTCATTCAGCTGTTGGAATTAGAGAAACAAGATGCGGAGACCATATGTTCTGCAGTGATGGGAAGCTTGCATAAAGTTGGGTTTACCACTGAATATCTGCAAAAGAATTTAATCGCTTTCTGTTCCAATGGTGCCAACGTTATGCTTGGAAGAAAATCTGGAGTCAGCACCAGAATAGCTCAAGACTTCCCAAACATCGTAATCTGGCACTGACTGCTTGAACCACTGCCTCCAACTTGTGCTGGATGATGCAATAACAGAAATAAAGCAACTCAACCACTTCAAGATCTTCCTTGATAAAATACACACCACGTTCCACAAATTCTGTAAGAGCCAGAATGACGTTTTCCAAATCTCTGAACAATTGGGCATTGAAATTGTGAAGATTGGCAGAGTTTTGGGACTAAGATGGGCTGCCTGTAGTTTAAGAGCAACCATGGCTGTGTGCCGTGCTTATCCAGCGCTACATCAGTTTTTTTGGTCAATAAAAGATTCCCAGGCATGGCTTCTCATTTTGAAAATCTAAATTTTTTGAAAGATTTGGCCCTCATGATTGATATTCTAAATGAGATTTCTTTTCTATCAAATGCCCTGCAGGGGAGACACACAGATATCATCAAGGCCGAAAAGTTAGTATTGCGAACAATCAAAGCTTTTGAAGTGCTTAGACAGAGAAAGGGCACTTATGAAACAAACCTTGAAGCAACGCTACAAACACAAATGCTTCAAAAACATCAATTTAGCTCCAAATCAACGATTTGTTGCTCTGCCTCGCAACAAGATTCTGTCAAGCATCATCACCAATCTGAAGAAAAGGCTGATGGATTGTGAACAGCTAAAAACAGGTAGCCA